CAGACCTAGCAATGAAGGAAAATCTACTGGGTTTAAGGTATAAGAATAATCTGGGTTATTCTCAGATATTCTCTATCTGAGAATATGAGCCCAGAGAATGTGCTGGTACAACTAATTCCACATCCTTCTGCAAGGTAACATCTTGGGTGAAAATCAGTCCTACTGCACAGTGAAATAGCTGGCCTTATCTAGGCCAAATACTGGTTTTCCATCATCTCTGTACTAATACCACTGGTGCTCCACTTATTCTCCTTGGGATGAGTTTTTAGAGCTCTGAGTAATGTAATGCAACGTTGCACAACACAGTGTCCCAGTGGCACGCTGTAACTACGCAAACATCTGCTGAACTGAACCCACTCAGGGCCAAATTGGATAGCACAACTGATTAGCTAGAGCCTTTGGGAATACGCTCACAATTTATGTTTATCTGAGTCACCAGCCCATGTGCAAATCACATTTTTTATTTTTCTTCCTTTTTTTTAAGGTGGAGCAAAAGCATTGTTTGGAAAAGAAGTGACACAGGAGTTTCTTTCTCCCTTCCAACTCTCCATTACTGTTTCTGTCACCAGCTTATTACCAAATTCGATCCAGCTCTGAAAAACCCTCAAACTCTGTGCTTTTTGGGGAAAAACCTGCTAACCAAAAAAACACTTTTTAAAAAAAGGATCAGAAAATCCTCAGAAATTGCCACAAAGAGTTGAGAAGCAGACCAATAGAACAAACGAAACAAGTTGCCATAAACCAAAAAACTGTACAATTGCCGAAGAACCCGGCAATCTCAGGAATTGGGTTTGTCATTTAAAAATAAAATACTCAGTTATTTAGGTTTTGATTTCTGGTCTGTTTTGTTGCAAACCAATGAAGCACTTGTATTCTTTAGTGTGAATTTGGTTGGGTGCAAAGTACACAAAGAAAACTAGCAAAAATCATCCTTTGTTGCCAGGTACGAGAAAAAGCTTCTACTATTATTCAAACTCCAATCATATTCTAAAACATCTCTCAACCTCCTGAAATCACAGACAGCTGGACAATGTTAAAAATCCACTCAAATAACTTTTCTTCTAAAGGTAAAAAGGTTCTAAAAAGGTTCTAAAAAGGTTCCTAAAATTCTAACTACTTTTCAATTATCTGATCTGACTTCTCAATGAGATGTACTCTACTTTATAATCTATCTTTGATGAGAGACAATGACAATTTGCAATGCAAAAAACATCAAAGACAACTGGGAGATTTTCCAGGAAATATTTGGTTATGATTTCTTAGGGCACGCCAATATTAACAGCACATCCAGATCTTTTTTCACATGCACTAATCATAAACTGGACCCACTCCATAGAAAACAACAAAGTCAGGCCAGTACAAAAGCCTTTCAATTACCTTTGTCTCTTCTAACTACTGATCTGAATAATATGTAAGAAGTGTCCACACTGAGAAGGCCCATCAAGACAGGTGAAACAGATTCCAGCAACGATGAAAATGGCTTCCCAACAAAACCTACCGAACATACTAGCACTTGTGAAACAAGTAGAAGGTTAAGTTGTTCCTAAAAGAAAAAAACTTGTGGATGCACTCAGAACTCCTCAAAAACTTTGCATCATTAACACTCATTCAGTGGTTACTCGCACATGTCCTGCTTTGCTGAAACTAATTAGACAGTTTGTTTAATCCATGGCAGTTCTGATCATCCCAGTTAGGTTTGGGTTATCCCTTGGGTGAATCCCTTGATGGAGATTCCCAACCCTCTCCTTGACTTCACAGCGAAGGTGGGTTGTCAGAGCAGGCAGTAGGAGTGCCCTCCCCAGAGCATGTGAATTTTTCTTTACCTATTGCTTTTCAAGAAGCACTAACGTAGAGGCAACAACAACATAAGAATCCAGTCTCAAAATTTGCCATTCAGAAATTTACCCAGTTATAGAATAAAACCAGGTAAGATCTCAGCTTTCACCACTACTACTGAAAGCGCATAATGAATTACTGGGACGGAACTATCACACAGATATTAGAAAAATGATTTTGTATTACTGGAAAGTGTCGGATTTATAAACATTTTTCTTAAACACTCAGAGACCTCAGGAGCATCTCTATAGAATAAAAGGATCCACAAGTAATTTTTGCTTTGCTGCAGAGTGAGTGCACAGCACCCACAAACGTTACAGACACATGAGCCTCCACCCATCAAACCCAAGTACCCAACATAAGCGTGGCTTAAAGGAGACTCCAAGTCCCACAAATATTCCCTCCGTTTTGTACATGCTAAGTAACATGGCCTAAACACAAAAAGGTTCCAGTAATACTTGGAATTAAACAGCAAGTTTAAGCTACTTAATCCATACCTCAGTGTTCATTCATTCCTGAACAAAAGCTTCCATCTGTGTTGCTGTAGTAGATGTGCTGGGACAGCCAATCTACCGTTAGGCTCCTGAACAAAAGCTTCCATCTGTGTTGCTGCTTTCTGTGGTAGATGTGCTGGGACACATTTGAACTTACCTGGTTGCCTACGTTTCCCTCGGTGTGCTACAGGCTACAGCAGGAGATATTTTGTAGTCCGAGTACAATATATATTGATCAATAATTTCTACAAGCAAAAGCTTTATTATTATCTATTAAACCCATTGTTGTTTTATTTGAAACCAATGTCCCTTGTTTTGATGTTCTGGGTTAACACTGAACACAAAAACGAACAGTCTTTTCTAGTTAAAAGCTTTGGAAAAAAGTCAATTCAAGTGCATATTCTTTTGCACTTTGATAATACGATAATTACATTTATCAGAAACACATGCTAATTGGATCATTCTGGAGCATTTTTCTCATTGTCTGGTACCACAAAACACATCTGGGTTTTATTTGCCCCATGTAAGTTAATAAGGGTATGGACTTTTTTAAAACAATAAGCAAGATAATCCTAAAAACAATTTTCCAAAGTGAAAAGGGAGGAAAAAACCATCCACGTTTCATTCAAGACTGTGTAAGTGTAAAAATGACTTTAAGATAGAAACTGAAGGACGTTTTCTACCTACTCAGATATTAGTGAAGAAAGAAAGTTAAAGAAATCTTATTACTATGACTATTCATAAGAAACAGCGCTGTTAAATATATCATATTAATGGAACCTAATAAGGGATGTCTCCCCCACCTACACGGATCCAAATTAGTATGATTTAGAGTGTCAATACATTGGCACTGGAAGATGTCAAGCTTCTTCTCGTTACTAAATCCCTAACTCGAGAGAACTGGAAACTTTCAAGCTTTTTGCTGGAGCACAGGGGATGTTGACACCTTCCAGATTTCATTTCACTGGACCAACCCACAGACAGTATGGTGCAAGAGAACAGCAGATGGCTTCTCTTCTGTTACCTCTGCTTCCTAAAGATGAAGCTGAACATTGTTCTTAAACCATGCATATTCAGCTCCCACTATAAGGAGAACAAGGCTTATTTATATATGTTAAAGCTTTCCATCCCATATTATATTTGTCCCGTTCCACAGCGTGTCTGTATATGCTCACATGATTTGAATTTTAAGTGCCCAGACGAAGAAAAGCAATTTGCTCTGAACTATGGAAAGACATTCAAGTTTTAGTCTTTAAGCAAAATAAGCGTTGAGCCATTCCGATAATATTTTTCCCTCCCTCATAAAAAATACACAGGACACAAAAGAGGGGAAGTGCTGAAAAAAGGAAACCGTTTTTTTCCTGTTTCACAACTTACCTTACACTGATTTGGGCTTCAGTATAGTTTAAAAAAACTACCACTGTTTTCAGACCTTACCACTGGCAGAAGTACGGACATTCAGTTTGTGCAGAAGTCCAATGTAAATCCAGCAGGACATGGCACTTCTCCAGGTATTAAGCAATTTTTGTGCTTGCATTTTACACTTTACACATGAGGTCACACATACACTGTTTAATCCCAGAACTTTTTTACAGGATCACAGAACTCTATGAAAAAAGACTAAATTTCACCATGTACTAATGGAAGAAAATTACTCTCTGGGAATCTGACAAGAGAGCAACAAAGTTTTGCCATCATGTAATCGAATGCTATGTAGTTTTCTCCTCCCCAGAGTTTGATGAAAAGATAGAAGCAGGCTTTGATTACACTATTAACTATATAGAGCAATGCTATAGAAAAAGTCTCACTCCATTTTACCTACCTGTTTTTGGACATACATAATGCTCTATTTCTCCTACAGATATTATAAAGGCAGAAAAGACACGCTTGGAGAATATAGCTTAAGTTACAAGTGAAACACAGGGTATGAGCAATTTAAATATAAATCTTGGAGCAAAACAAACAGTGCATTGGATTGACTGGAAAACATTTTTTACTTCCAAACTTATCTGTGCAAGTAAAAAGTATATTGATGAATGTAGGAATAAACAGATAGAAAGGTGTGAAATATAGACTGTCAAATCAATAAAGGGGCATGCTTAAATAAATAGAAAAAAAAGACTGATCAATTATCAAACCAGCTGGAGCCTGATCCTCTTCTCATGACGTAAAATGTAAATCTAGAATAAATACAATTACAGCTGGGTTTTCAAGACCATCTGTGAGACATGGGGCTTTCACCAACAGCTAGAAATCAGTGTGTCATGCTCTCTGGACTGCGGTGCCCAGGAGATGAGATTCGTGGGCTCTTTCAAATCTATGAATCAATGAGAATTGGTACAAGGGGAAATCAAGACCCTACCATCTCAGATGAGAGAGCTGGTAAGACCATGGTTCATTTTATTTGCTATAATTGTGTAAATTAAATACTGTTGGAATTTATGTAGTAATTAATAGTATACCTGATTAGTTCAGGAAAACATTGGCCACCATGTCTGAAACATTACTTACAATGCATTTGTGGAGAAAGGAGTAGAAAAAGAGAAGTTAACCTATTGGGCAGACTGAGAATGGTTATTTATGCTTGTTTCCATATAATAAGGCACTTTCGTTTCAGGAGCAATGCTATGCTGTTCAGAGGCACATGTGTTAAAGTTGAGATACACTTACAAAGTAGCCTGTTCCCAAGCTGGAAGGAGCTGAGCTCTGCAATAAAACACAAAGACAAAGTGGAAAGTCAGTGATGGTTTTTAACACGTTCCAATCCGCATAGCTCATTACCAGCCCTTTCCAAGCTTTTCATCACTACATCACAGCACCAACGTGCTGCCCCTTGTCATCTGCTACTGAAACAAACACGGTGTTGCTTAATTTTTCCCTTTACATCTCTCAACGACTCTGAGATGGTAACGTGCTATTTACTGAATTCCAAGCTTCTGCGGTGGACGTAATTGCCAATTTATTTGACAGGCAGCTGGATAATGAATTAATGATGGCATTTCGCCCTGCACTGAGACTAAACAGACACTCATCAACCAGCCTCCCTGACATGCTGACATTCAATGCCCTGGACTCCAGCTACTCAGCTTTGTGGCCACAAAGGGGCAGGCAGGAGGGGGAAAAGAAAAAAACATAGACTGACTTCAAAACAAAAAGCCCGGTGGGTTTGGATGACTTTTTCAGTGTATGACCTGTTTGCCAATTTATTCCCGAAAGGCCCTGGTTAGTACACACATAGTGCTTTTCTAAAATGAGACATTTTGTAAACATAATTAGTAGTCTGAAATGTAAAGAACGCGTGGGCACAGAGAAGCCGCTTCAGTCAATGTACCATTTTCCAGAGAACGCAGTCACTACAATTTCCCATTTAGATGGGCACTCTGAGAAACCAACGATTTCAAAAAGGAAAGCAAAACCAAACAAGAAATATCTACGGTGTGAAACAGATTTCAAAACTGAAACCCATAAAAAGAATTAAAACTAACATTACTGCCACAGAAAATAATCAAAAGGTTTAAATGCTTAAAAAAAAAAGCATCATGATATTCAATTTAAGTGGGACACAATCACAACCTCTATATTCACAGGAATTAAGGAGATGAAGGGTTTTGTTTCATTAGTTTTTCATCTAAGCAATGGGGATTACACAGCAGGTTCTCTCAGAGACATGGTGAGAGACCTAAACATCTCAGTCCTAATCCAGGTCACTGGCTGTTACATTAAAGGGTGAGCCGTTCCCAACGCTACGGCCCCATCACCTGCGACGCTTCAAGTCAATGGACAAGGGAGGGAAACGCAGAGGGTAATTCTCTAGTGAGCAGTGGGTGGTCCAGATGACCAGCCTTGAACTCCTAACAGCTCAATTCCCACTGCTGTTCCCTAGCACACCCTCACTTCCAGCAATGACACAGCTCAGCGATTACCGGGAACCGCACAGGGCCCCCACCAGCCCTGGGAAACCATTGGGAAGGAGCAGAATTTGCCTCCCTGTTATCCCTGCTCTGAGACACTATTGTAAGGAATTCTCTCAATTTCTGATCTTGGTGCGCAGCACTGACACCAAAGAAAAGAAACCCCAACAAGAGGGTTATAGTGTCTTTTTAGTGACCTCGGCATAGCAGAAGTAGATTGTGCCAAGAAGTTTTAAATTAACACCAACAAAATTCATTGGAAAAAAATCAAAGAGGTTTAGAGAGGTTACGTACATTTAGGGAAGACGTTCTCATTTAAGCCATTAGAAGTTAAAGACTTCTTTAGGAGCAAGAGGAAATTACCTTGGTAGTCATAAGGGCACCAATATCTAAAATCAACAAACTCTGGTGGGACATCTTACATGAACAAGCAAAACTGCTACAAAAATTCGGAAGGTATGTGGTTCCTACCCCTTAATACTATTTTACAGGCTGCAGCTACTGCAGGACTCAAGATCTGCAGTCTACAGCTCTGGTTATCTGAGGGGAAGGAGAGCTCTACAGAAATAAATAAATTCCCAAGTCCTTCTGGCCCCACTCTTGCTGCTCGGGGGCCTCAGCTCGCACAGCAAGACCCACCTGGTCCCAGGGACCATGTCCCCAAAAGCGCCCCTGCAGCAGCCGAGGAACAGGCAGCGCAGACTGGGGAACACACAGCCATGAGGCTCAGCCCAACTAAAAAGTCCCTGCCATGGGCACATACCATGGTTTTGGGAGCCACTGCAGCCCACAGACTGCAGCTCTGCAGCACCTGGTAGAGAGCCCAATTCAGCACTCTCTGGTTTAGTATCTAATGCATTTACTTTCCTGTTAAAGCACATCACATACACTGCCTTTCGCTTTATTCGTTCTGCTTTCTGCTTCATGCCATTTAAATTCTTTTAATTTAAGCTAGAGATCTACCCACAAAGTACAACACGTGCAATCATTATAACCACTTTACTTCAAGCTATGTGCAGATGCCAATCGAGTCCCACTCTTTCACTCACAATTTTTAAAACTTACTTTACAGGCTGAAAGCTCCAAAGTTTGCATTCTGCATCTGTGTGTAATTTTTGTCTCCTTTTTATTCCAAGTTTTGGAAGGATCAAGTATCAAAACAAAACAATAAAAAGGAAGAAAAAAGAATAAGCAAACAAAATATTTCCCACTGAATATTTCCATTCCTTCAAAAGCAATGTCGCAATGGCTATGGGAGGACAGTCGAAACATGGCAATCAAATGACTTTCACTCAAAAGAAACAACTGTGCATTTTCAGGGAATTTGAGTTTGCTGGATGGAAATATAGCCCTTCACACATTGCATGCTGCATATGGATAGTACAGTTTGCAAACTCTTTTTAATTGAAGTCAGAAAGCCTGCATTGCACATGCATGAATGACTAAGTCAGCTGTGTTGTGAACTGTGTGTTGACAGAGCAGATAGGCTGAAGCAAGGGCTATGCAAGACGACAGCTTCTCACCTTCTTTGATAACTCCCAATAGCGAAAGGATCCCACTCCCCAGTGCCCAGCCTTGGTACCAACTGAGGAATGTGATACTGTGTGTGCAGCAGCTTTACAAGCCCATGCTGAGTCGTGATCCTGCACTGGATGGTTCTACATCTCTTTATATAAAGTGTGCCTATAATAGAGGTAACTGTTTCACTTTCCGAAACCCTTTGCAAAATTTGACATTAGATATACTATTTGATATTCACACAACCACCACCAGCAGCCTGCATCAGGTGCCCATCACCAAAGGCAAGTCACTTGTTTAAAATTAACAGGGTTTTGGTTTTGTTGTTTTCCTTCTGCTTCCCCCCCCGCCCCCCCCTTTTTTTTTTCTTTTCCTTCCTTTCTTAAAGAGAACTTTTGGCCCAGGAGCAAAAATGTAGTAACCCTTGTGTAAGCATTAGTTTATTGTGTACCAAAGAAAATTACATCCTTGAGGTCTTGGAAGGCACAGTTATACCCATTTTGCATATATATTGTGCATTACTTGGGGAGCTGGGTGGGGAGAAAGACTGTGTTGTACATATTTGTTCTGGCTATTGTTTATGCAGGTCTGACTGAATGAAGGAACAGTGGGTATCATTTCAATTTCTGATGTCAACATCAAATTACTTATTTAATTTCATGCCTGGCGAAGCATTGTATAGCTACACGCAGAATCATTTCACTTCATTTGTTATGCTGTGTTTTCTTGGCGATTGGCTTGCCTTCCAACTGACAGCTTTAATTACGACATGAATTTGATTGCACTGCCGAGGAATTAACATAATGCAACAAAGCATTTAAGCACCCAACCTTAGACACACAAACACACACATACACACCCTCACGTACACACACACACAAAGAAGCAGCCACTGCAGCTGATCAGCTTCTGGCACACACACACACAAACACACACAGAGCTTTGCTGGTGTTATTCCACTTTAGATACAGCCAAGATTATCAGGGATATTCTGGAGAAGGAAAAGTACTGAGGATTTCAGAGCACACAACCTAAAGACCATTCCTCAATTTGTCTTTCTTTGGGCTCAGGACACACGTGGCAGGAATAGGAGACAGAAAACTGAAAATATTCCGTATTTGAGGCCAAAACCGTGAGCAGTCCACAGGATTATGCTGCTGGTGTGTAGACACCTTTATTCCTGAAGCAGACAGCTACAGACCTGGTGGGCAGGGCACGCCAGGACTTACTCCTCAGTGAAACCTTGCTGTAACCTGTTCTCAAGCACATAGTACCCACGCAGTAGGAGCAGGGAAGCACTCATGGAAGAGTGTGTCAGCTTTGATGAGAGCCCAACACGAGACCTTTAACATAGGGGACAAATGGAAAGATTCCTGTCCCACTCCTTATTCAAGATTTGGAACAATATTCCAGACAGAAAGGTGCCAACTATTTCTCCCAGTTTCCTTGTTCAGAAGAGCCGGCAGAGGCCAGGCATCCACGCTCCTGTTGAGCAGGAAGGGTGGGAGACCTGCGCTGCCTCCCAGCTGATGGCCACACGGGAGAGGCTTTGAATGTCCACCCCCTGGCTGAAAGCCTGCAGCCAGCACCAGGAGCAGCAGCAAAGACTGAGGGTGCCCAAAGCCACTTGCCAGCCTTCTCCCATCACATCGTCATTACCGGAACGATGAGCAAGGGCGATTCACAGACATTGGATTTTAACGAGACCAGCAATGATCTACAGCATGAGCTTCAGTTCCGTGGCAGATCAAGAATTCAGGAATGTGCACCAAAGAAATCAGTTTTTTTTATTTGGTTTTTGATTAGCAAAGAGGTGGCTGAACCCCTGAATACTCTGTGCGTTTACCTCCCAGGTTAGCTGTAATCCTCGCGTTTTCCTCGTGTAATCTTCTGGTTGCTTTGTAAAGCATAGGTAAAATCTACCCCGTGTATTCCAAAGTGGGAAGACTCAATTAAAAATAAATACATACAGAAAGATAAGGAAAACAAGCTGACTGAGCTCCAAGCTGAGGAAAAGAGAAAGCGCTGCCATCTTGTCTCCAAGCAAAATCTCAACAAAATGAATTCTACTACTGGCAAGATTTTGATGAGATTAAACTGACTACAGCACCCTATATATAAAGGAGGAGCAGCTCTCCAATTTCTCTCTTTTAGGCCCCTGAAGCTACCTCTGTCCATAAAGGAAAAAACAAGTTGTCATTCCAAAAAATACTATCTAGGGGAGAAAGGCAGAGAGAAATGGGTTTATGAAATTCAAACGGGGAGATGTATCAGGGCACTGTCAAACGCTTGCAATGGAGCATTCGAGCAGTCATTATCCCTAATCTAGTAGAGGTCAAGTTCTCTGCTAATTATGTTCTCTCACAGAGGGGTGTGTGCGTGTGTGTACATGTGTGCGAGACGAGGACAAAGGAAAGAGTTGATGGAAATCAGTCTCACTGCATTGCCTCTGACAAGAACATAGGATATTTCTCTTCCTACTGCCTGATGCTATTTCAAGCCTCATTATGAGAAAAGTCTCCTGTTTAACATGGTCTTTTCATTGAATTATCTTCTTTTCATTTCTGACCACCTCTCTCGCAAATGCTGCAAATTACCTGCTTGGATCTCATTAGCCTGGAAAGGAGTCATCCCTTGTAAACACACTTCGCATCAATCTGTGTTATCCAAGGACTGTAGGTACATTTACAATATGCAGAGTTGAAAGATATCTGACAGGAGAGGGAATGAAGCCACTGACATGTCAGTTTGCAACTGGATATTCATTATACCATCTCCCTCATTCTGCATCTGTCACTAAGCTATCACTTAGGCTACGCATTAAAGCTCACGAAGCTAACATTTCTGTTTCAACAGCTTACTTACAACGAGGGATTTGAAAATTGATCATCCACCTAGAGTATATGCACTTCTTTCATTAGACATATTTCCATGCAGTAGCCATGCTTAATCTTACAATGCTGTCGGGCTACATGGCTGAAGATCCACTCTATTTCATGTCCAAAATTTGCTCTCTGACCTCAGGGTTAATCTGCCTGCAATATTTTATGGTTTTGGTCTATCTTCTGTTGAGTACACAACTTTTTGCTTATTGTTTCCTGAAAAAACAGTTGTAAAAACTGAATAGGATCACTCTTTAGTCTGTAGTTTTTTCTGGACAGAAATTGGTAGGTATCATGAGAAAACTCCCTCCTTTGAAAGATATTATTTAAAATAACCTTATTAAGCTCTTGATGCATCTTTGTGCTGAAGAGGGCAGCTCAACCCGGACTCACCCACAACTGGAAATGGAAGTATCACTACCACTTTCTCAGGCCCTATCATTTAAAAACATGGGGTGTTTGTCTTTGGGGGAGAGAGAAACAGGGAATGGTATTTACTTAACTGAAAGAGGCTGGGAAAGGCCAGCACACACTCAGGCAAGATGAGAGTTCTCTCGTGCATGTTTTTCAAATCTCAGCTGAATTGGCAACACCAGACCACAGAGACAGGCTTGTATTGCAATGAATTATCAAAGCATAAAGACCTTACTTTTAAAGCAAAACATAAATTATGTATAACATTTTAAAATATACATTTTCACATATATTTACATAATGTTCCTTTTAAGCAACCTGTGAATTCTTATGACCTCTCTCGGGCGTGCTAGGGAAGTGACATTTGCTCTCCACTTCCTATGAATCTGCACTAGTGCCAAGACAGAGCTGGCACTGAGCTGCGTGCTGCAGTGACACACCTGAGGGACAGGGTGCCATTCAGAGAGAACTGGAAAAGCTCAAGAATTGGGCCCATGTGTGAACTTCATGAGGTTCAACAAGGCCAAGCGCAGGGTTGGGGCAACCCCCAGTATCCATACAGGGGGAGATGAATCAGCTGGGGGATGAAGGGATGGAGAGCAGCCCTGCCAAAAGGGCTAGGGCTTACTGGTGAATGAAAAGCTGATGTGAGCCAGCAATGTGAGCTCTCAGCCCAGAAAGCCACCCGCATCCTGGGCTGCATCAATAGAAGTGTGGCCAGCAGGCTGAGGGAGGACATTCTGCCCCTCTGCTCTGCTCTCATGAGACCCCACCTGGAGCACTGTGTCCAGTTCTGGGGTCCCCAGAGCTGGAAAGACATGGACCTGTTGGAGTGAGTCCAGAGGAGGGTCACAAAGATGAATGGAAGTATGAACACCTCTCCTATGAGGACAAGCTGTGAGAGTTGGGGGTGCTCAGCCTGGAGAGGTGAAGACTCCAGGGAGACCTTACTGCAGCCTTCCAGTACCTGAAGGGGTGCCTGCAGGAAAGATGGGGACAAACGATGAATCAGCTGGGGGATGAAGGGATGGAGAGCAGCCCTGCCAAAAGGGCTAGGGCTTACTGGTGAATGAAAAGCTGATGTGAGCCAGCAATGTGAGCTCTCAGCCCAGAAAGCCACCCGCATCCTGGGCTGCATCAATAGAAGTGTGGCCAGCAGGCTGAGGGAGGACATTCTGCCCCTCTGCTCTGCTCTCATGAGACCCCACCTGGAGCACTGTGTCCAGTTCTGGGGTCCCCAGAGCTGGAAAGACATGGACCTGTTGGAGTGAGTCCAGAGGAGGGTCACAAAGATGAATGGAAGTATGAACACCTCTCCTATGAGGACAAGCTGTGAGAGTTGGGGGTGCTCAGCCTGGAGAGGTGAAGACTCCAGGGAGACCTTACTGCAGCCTTCCAGTACCTGAAGGGGTGCCTGCAGGAAAGATGGGGACAAACTTTTTAGCAGGTCTATTGCAACAGAACAAGGGGTAATGGCTTTAAACTAAAAGAATGTAAAATTTAGACTAGGTATAAGGAAGAATTTTTTTACAATGAGGGTGGTGAAACACCGGAACTTACTGCCCAGAAAGGTGGTGGATGGAGACATTCCAGGTCAGGCTGGAACGGGGCTCTGAGCAACCTGACCTAATTGAAGATGTCCCTGCTCATGGCCGGGTGTTGGACTAGGTGATCTTTAAAGATCCCTTCCAACCCAAACTATTCTATGACTCTATTATTCTATAAAGAGAAAGTATTGTAAAAACATCAGAGGAAAACTGTATTTGATTGGTGGAAGGGGAAGCAGGACTCTGCTCTCACTGCCAGGTCTGGCACTGCAATGATATGAGCTGCTGGGAAGCTCAAATAAGCCTCAGAGCTCTCCACTCAGTACACTGCAAGGGAGTGACAAGGCTAAATTAAAACCACGTTTGTAAGGAGCTGTGAATTTTTTCGCTGGAAGGTGCTGGGTAATTGTGAAGTTCATTGCAGTGACTTCTCAGCTGCCAGAGGGCTCAGAGCAAGCTAGGATAGCACCGGTGACAGGCTGGCGGGCAGCTGCCATCACTGCTACCTGCACAGAGCATTTCCTTACCATCTCCTCTGGTTTCACTCTGCCCCTTCCAAAGATACCTCACAGCCCCCAGACTGACCTCACCTGACAGCCACGAAAGGCAGGCTCTGAAGTGTCTAGCTGAATGTACCCATAAAGGTTGGCTCTGGGGGTGGAACAGACCTCTACAATAATGTGACAAAGGGATGAGGAAAGAGAGTGCTACAGATTTCACACCTTCACAGAAAAAAAAAAAATAAAAATCAGGCGGCTGTTGCAGTGATACACACAGTTCAGCAAAAATTACTAGCCATGTGCCTTCAGGCTTAAATTTGCACAACGAAATGTATTCTTTACAAAGGTATTTCTTTTAATGTCTGCTCAATTCAGTTTTATTGGATTTGGCCTATAGAGGACACCATCTGGTATCTGTCATCCAAATCTACATGGACATGCTATCAATAAAATCCCCATTTCCAAAATGTGGGTTAGTTAAAAGTAGGGCCAGATTGCTGGCTGATACAAATTGGTCTGAGTGATGTAGCTATCCATGCTTTTACCAGAAAAGGATCTGACCTACAAAATCCCCAATTTAGATACACTTTTAGGACAGGGCTGTCTTTATATTCTTTATATTCTGTGTTGTAAAGCACGTAGCACAGAGGACCCAGAGCCATGAATAAAACACTCAAGGATTGTGATGGTACACATAATAAATAGTAATCTAATTGCAGCAACAGAAAGATTTCTGTAGTCATTCATATGTCCAAATAACTCATGCGTGTCACTCCGTGAATGGCCAGCATTCTTCAGTGGAGAAGAACATTCTCTGCAGAGCTGCCATCTTAGGACCTTCCACAGCAGTTTAGGTAGAGCAATAAGGCAGAGCTTATGCTATTGTTGGCCATGTTATATCAATTCATTATATATAAATTAGCCGAGTCTCTCTAGACAGTCTTAATACTTTTCATAAAGACAGTATTTAGCCCAAAGAAATACATTCTTTTCCTTCCCCACTTGGGGTAAAAAGAGGCCATCTCACTTCTCAACTATGCAGAGCATTTTAACTTCATTAAATGGCCTTCAACTACTTCAAAATGAATGAGTGTTTTCACACAGGCAGACGCTTTACCAAACTTTAAGAAGTTTATTGAATCAGGGCAGGAGACCTAAGTTACCTCTTCCTCTCCCAACCCCCTAAATGGAAGGGGTTTTTAGCAACAAACCATCCCAGAAACTAAATCCTGGTATGACTTACACCCCTCAGAAAACTACACTGGGGTTAATGAGAGCAGTATTTGGCTGCAGGAGTTTTACTTACGTCACTGAGTCTTTCCCGAGAGCTACTTCGCCGGAAACCTTTCGATTCCCCACTGGCGCTTTCACTGTCACTGTCTCGGCAACTGTTTTGGCCTGGCTTGAGCTGCAGGAAGAGAAAAAACAGAGAGAGCGAAAGTTTAGCCTGGTTCAGGTGAGTCCCTTTGACATTGCTCTTCTTCAATCCAACCCCACATCTGCACAAAGCAGGGTTTCTGTGGTGCTTGCAGCAATGCAACCAGCACGGTGCAGCCTGGGTGCTGAGGCAGCATCTCAGAGAGACCAGGAGTGCAGAGAACAAAGCAGGCTCACGTGAGGGATGAGACCCTGCAGGCAGAAGAAGGTAACATTCGTGTCCCAATGAATCACAGAATCACAGAATCACAGAATCTTCTAGGTTGGAAGGGACCTTAAAGATCATCTTGTCCAACCGTCAACCTAACTCTGACAAAAATAGACACCCACACAACGAACAAGGAGCATCATCACTAAACCAGACCTCCCAGCACTAATCAACCTGTCTTTTGAACACCTCCAGGGATGGGGCCTCAACCACCTCCCTGGGCAGCCCATTCCAATGTCTGATAACCCTTTCAGTGAAAAAATTTTTCCTAATGAAATCACAGTTTAAGACCTTCATTTTGGGAACTTGTAGACTTCTCAATCTATTTATGCCATAGATGCAGTTTTTATATTTACCATCACATAGAAGCATGTGCAGAATCAGTCCCTCACTCATTACAACGTAAGAATATTGAGGATCCCGAATCAATGGAAATCTCCCCAAGAGAAGGAGCAGCCATCACTCCGGGGAGACCTTTCGCTGGGATAGCCCCCAACAACATTGCCTGACACTAACCTCAATGTTCATAAACCAACGTGATCTACTTAATAGGTATCAGGTTGCTTTTGCCTTTCAAACCAGCTTTAATGAACTTTACTGGCATTCTAATAAATAAAAAATACAAAAAAATATTACGAAGTATATTTTTAATACAATTGAGAACACATCTGCTTTCTCTTATGCTGTGGATTCTGCAGGTCAACATGTTACAACAGCAGCGTACCGAAATGAACACTTACCATACACATACATTACACACGTGTCCACAAGCACATAAACATATATATAGTGAGAGGAAGATATGAGCTACATCTACTGCGATGCTGAAAATGTATATATTTCTTTTAGCATATCTTTCCCTATGTTTTGCTTGAATGTATTAAAATTTTGGTTTAGCCTTGTTGATGCTTTGTTCAAACTGACTTTATGTGAAGACTGGTTACTCCTGAGTTTAAGACTGGCAAAAAGTCAATTTCAGAAATGTAGATTTAAAATCACTTATGTAAATACTGGCAGCAGAGGTAAATGCAGAGAAAATACTTGGTGAGGTACCTAATGAAGTATTTCACGAGCCACCTACTACATTTACCAGTATTCTTATAACATATACTAAATAACTCATCCTAACTTATTCTAATTATTAATACATTCATAGTAATTTCTATTCAGACTGCACAGAAATAGCTAATCACACTCATCACCATTTTTTGACTGGAGACCAAAAGTTCCTTCTCCATGAACTCTCTCCACCAGCTTTCCCCCCTCGCCTTTCTTCTCTCTCTCCTCATTTTTTTTCCAGTACTCCCAGAAACATTTTGCATGAGCACACAGAAAAATTCACACACAGGCGCATGCCCACAAAACCATTTCTGCTCTATTTCCCAGATATACATTCACATTGTACACGCTGCTCACTTTTCCCAGGTTCACAAAGCATCCTCCCCCCAATGGTTATCATCAGTCTATCCCTACTGCTGGAAGAGCAAATCATGTCTGCAAGTTTGGTCTGTGCGTGCTGCTTTACCTTCATCCCTTATTCCCCTCATTAGTAAAAGGCAGGTTTGGGTGCTCTCTGTCAGTCAAAAGAAAGAAAGGAGAAAGTACATCAAGCTACAGGCTCAGACACACAATCGAGTTGCAATGTATGAGCACAACTGCAAAAAATGGCACAGGTGTACTCTCAGCGCAAAGAAAATGTAACATATGATCTAGAGCTATTTGTCAAACACTTACAATTTAATAAATAAACTAAATATTCCACAGCTCAGCCAGAAATTCTCAAGTAAAAAGATTTTTATTTCAAACGGAATGGTTTATCAGTCAGATCCAATAGAACTAGGTAGCTTTTTTTGGAGGTGGAGGGGAGGATAATGAATTTAAGAAGTCTTATACCTCATATATAAACTCACAGATCTTATCTAGGACCACTTGTGTACTGTAATTTTATGGTCCCAGGTTTAAAATTTAACAACCCAAATGAAAATGGATCAAGTTTCCCTGACGCAGTCTTTTGTCAACATCCTCTCAATGATGGAAAAACTCTTATTGTATCTGGGGCTTGAAGAATTTTTTCCAGTCTCAAATTTTTATTTTTAGAAGTTCAATTTATTTTGTACACAATTTTCATACATTAGTTATTTGCTAACTAATCATAACGGCGTGATTTTTATACTTCTACGTTGCAAATTCCAGCTCTTTACACAGTAGAGAAGAAAACCCCAGCAGGTGTCATTTTTCTAGACACAATTTACAAGAAATAAGAGAATATGACCAAGATATCTGAGCCTGAAACTCTGTAGGAACAAAGCGAACTACATAGACTCGACAGCAAACTCAGAAGTAAGTCCAAGTTAAGATTTATAAGCTTTCCATATTTTCCTTTCTTTTTTTCCAAGTTGAGTTTCTCCATGTGCCAAACTGTTGAGGGTTTACATTTTATTCCAAAACCCATCAATCTGTGCTAAATTAAAAAAATAAAGCATGGAAATGTGCCCATTGTCTTCTTTTAAGAACCCAAAGTTACACACAAATGCACATGAGAACACTTAATGTGAATAGGCAATGATTCATTTTGATCTACTTGCACAGATTCAACCACTTAAAATTAAAACGACGTTGAAACAACATAGTGCTGCTAAACAACGTTTACAAATAAAAGACTGGATCTTTAGTTACACTGCATGCATTTGGCGCATTGCTTTGGGGCACACAGGGACCCTAAAATCAGTTTCTCCTCGAAAATGCAATTGTCACTGGAAAAAATTTTAAGTGCAACATTGACAACTCTTGTTTCTGTAGCACTGCTGTCAAGGTACACCATGCAACAAGCAAAGCCACCATGAAACTCCCATGATGTCTACCCAAGTGCCCCACCGAGGGCCTTCCCACATTAACACAGCCGTTACACTTCTACTGTGTACCCAGTGAGGAACAAAGAAGGGTTTGCAAAAAGCATAACTGACTCCACGCTTTGACTGGACAGTGGGAGCGAATGTATCCATGCAGGGATCCTTCTAAAAGGACTCACAAAGATGAAATACAGACACTTTCTAGATTGGAAGCACAAAACCCTAAGAACACAGAGGGTCGCTGACTCCCAACAAACTTGTACAGCCTCCAGGATTCCTTGAGTATAAGAGACATGTTACATGTTAAAAAAAAAAGATAATCAGTGACCTGAGCCCATTTGCCCAGGCTGAATGGCTGAAGGGCACAGGGAACGCTCACCATCCAAAAGCCTTCTTGTTTTTGGTCATTCTTAGCATTGTAACGTCATAGTTCTGGAAATCTTTTATCACAATACAGAACCTATTACTTTGTAATGCCTTTAAATCTGTTGGAGGATATTCAAAGTCAAGCAGAATTGGTTAAGCAGATAACTACACTTCTCCTATTAAAAGAAAGAAAGGGAAAGGAGAAGTAGATCTGGAAGGGGGGCTGCTGGCTGAAGCACTGGGCTGGGACACAGCAGCCGGCTTTATTTCTGATTCTTCACTGCACCCAATTCCCTCTCTAAAAAGTGAGAATAATGATGAGTCTTCCATACTCATAAAAACTGGTCTATTTAGGGTTGGTTTTTATAGTGGGGAGAGTTTCTCAGTGACTGTGGAGCACATCACACGCTACAGGACCTGGCAGCCCCACTCATGGCTCTGGGGGCAACAACGATTCCTAACGGTGAGGTGGCTCCACTGACAAAGTGTATTAAAAACATAAAAAAGGCCTGAAGACTGCTGCACTCACCTGGGTTTTCATTCCTCCCTTTTGTACAGGCAGGAGCAGCATGAAGCCTGTGTGCTTTGGCTGCTCCCTCCATGGGCCTCTCTGAGGAGAGGCCAGTTCCAGCCGGCTCCGGCCGGTTCCACAATGGCCCCCACCACAGCACAGCCGAGCCCCCACCACAGCACGGCCGAGCCCCCACTGCGGCTGGTGGCACCCCTCCGAAAGCATATTTCGGAGAGGACAAAAATGCCAGAGCACTGAGGGAAACAACGTGAGAGGAAGCCCTGTGAAGAGCCAGGTGAGGGCTGAGGAGGGAAGGAGGTGCCAGGGCCCGAGCAGAGATTCCCTCACACCCAACAGAGGGGGTGGATACTCCCTGAAGGAACCCTGGCCCCTGGAGAGCCCACAATAGAGCAGATTTTTCCTCATGGAGTTGTCCCCCGTGGGAGGGATCCATGTGGAGCAGGGGAAAGGAGCTGTCACAGACAGACCACAGCCCCCAGCCCCTGCGCCACACTGAGGAATAAGGAGTGAGGGTGAACTCTGAGGGAGAGGCATTGTTTCAATTTTTCTTTTTTTCTCACTACCCAAGTCTGTTTTAACTGGCAATAAATTAAGTTAGTTTTTCCCAAGTCCAGACTGTTTTGCCCGTGAGGATAACTGGTGATGTCCCTGTCTTTATCTCACCTCACAAAGCTCTTCCATCTTTTATTTCCTCCCCCTGCCCTGTTGAGGTGGGGGAATGTGACAGAGTGGCTGGGGGCGGGGGTTGGCCTCAGCCAAGGTAAACTCACCACACCGGGGTTTGGTGAAAAGCACTCAGATGCTCTAAACTGAGCCAAAAACCTTCAGACATACCACCCCGTGCTGCCCCACAGAGTAATGCAAAGTAGATGGAGAACTGCAGGTGCCATGAGGGACACAAAGAGTGAGAGGGTCACCGAGATGGCACTGGGAGGGGAGAAGAGCCAACCCTAACAGTGACCATTTGATGAAGAAAAAGGAAAGAGACTAGCTCAGGCCTAAAGGTCACAAAGAAA